TAATAAAATTACTCTATTAATTATATACATATAAAAATAGATTTTACAGTTAAAACATCTTGCATATGTAATTTATAAGTAAGATAAAATTTCTCCAAAAAAATTATATATTCTGAAACATATATTAACATAATTTTTTCTGTATTTCTCAACTTTTTTGAATATGTATAAATAAGTATTAAGTTATATTAGATCTAGATATATCCTTATGATGAAAATAACTTACCCGATTTGTATAGTTAACTTAGAGACAATAATTATGATTTGAATCTTATCTATCTAGGAAATACGATGCATGAATTATGTTTATGTTGTTTATATTTTTTTAGATTTTTTGTAATTTTATTAGAATTTTTTGGACCTTCTATCAAACATTTTACGCGTATTGGTTGATATCGTTAGGGGTGTTCACCCTACCCTACAGGTAAGAAATATAATCTTTCGTCTTCCTACTCGAGACTTTGTAGAATAATTTTTTTTTGGTCTACCTTACCCGATCAGGTGTTGTATTCTTACTCGATTAATCGGGTAAACACTTTTGTAGCTATTAATTTTTGGATCATTTTAACAATTCAATTAAATAACATGCACCAATTTAAGAACACAATAAATCAATAGCACTAAAACCTAAAACAATTACAACAACAATTACAATAAAATACAAGAAGTATGAACAGCAATCTATCATAATTGTTACACAAATACAATAACAATTATTTTAAGCTTAAATCATATGAAACATATTAAAATTATAACTGCTCCAATAGATCACTAGTTTACCACAAATCATGTAACCTACACAAAAAATAAGTCCATATTTTAGCAACTCAAACATCCATAACAATAACAATGTTATAATATAAATTATACCACACAAATACTCTTATAATTACTAAAACAAAAATAAAAAAATTAAATATATTTTTTGCGGGTAGGGTAGGAATGCGAAAATTGATGGGTATTCCGTATTCCTACCCGATTTAATCAAAAGACCAAAAATTCTTCCATATTTCTACCTGATTTTTGTGACTAGTCGTTCAGTAGGGTAAGGTAGGGTCGGGTAGGATAGAAAATTGCAACAATCAGAAATTTGAACACTCCTAGATAACGTGTCACGACGCCACGACAGATGTGTATCAGTGTCCTCCAAGTTGAGAGCCGACACCGTGACCTTAAACCATGGGCGCCTGGGTGCGGTGATAAATGGGCAAGGGTCTTCGCGCCTTGTACAAACGTGGGGGGTAAGGAAGCTTGTCCATGATGATAAACTTAGATTAGCAACATGAAACATAGGTACATTCACCGACAAAACAATGGAATTAGTAGACACTATAAGTAGGAGAAAAAGTAGTATAGCATTCTTACAAGAAACTAAGTGGGTAGGTGAGAAGGTAAGGAAGATAGAAAATACAGGATTTAAGATTTACTATACAAGAAAGGATAAACAAAGAAATAGAGTAGGAATAGTTATAGATAAAGGCCTGAAAGATAGCGCATTAATAGTTACAAGGAAAGAAGATAGGATTATATCTATCAAACTTGTAATCAGAGAGAATATAATTAATGTTATTAGCGCTTATGCACCTCAAGTAGGGTTAGAAGAACATATTAAAAAGAAATTTTGAGAGAAAATGGATGAATTAGTTCAATATATAACTATGAGAGAGAAGATAATCATAGGAGGAGATTTCAATGGACATTTAGGAAAAGATAGGACACAAAACGAGAGAAGTCGTGGTGGTTATGGATATGGTGATCGAAATGAATCCGAATAGAGTATTTTAGAGTTTACAATGACATATGACCTTGTAATGGCAAACACCTTGTTTAGAAAACGAAAAGAACATCTAATAACCTTTAAGAGCGGACCAAACAAAAGCCAAGTAGACTACTTCTTAAGTAGAAGAACGGACCGATTAGTATGTAAAGATTGTAAGGTTATCCTGTGAGAAAGCTCAACATCTCAACGTAGGCAAACAATTCTAGATTTATATATTAAAGGACAACATAGAGTAAAGAGAAGCATTAAAATAACAAGAAAGAGATGGTGGAATCTAAAAGATGAGAAACTAGTATTATTTAGGAGTAGAATGCTTAAAAATGTCTTATGGAACCTAGAGGATGAGACTAACATTATGTGAAGTAGGATGACGGAAGACATTAAGAAAATTTTGAGATTGGTTTTTGGGGAGTCAAATGGTAGAGGGTTTGTGGGAAAATAAACTTGGTAGTGGAATGACGACGTACAAGAGGTAGTTAAAACAAAGAAAGAATCCTTTAAGAGATAGCAAAATGATAGAAATACAGAGAACTTCCAAAGATATAAATTAGCTAACAATGAGATTAAAAAGATAGTTAGAGATGCTAAATTAAAAGGCTACGACGAGTTGCACAAAAAACTAGATAGTAAAGAGGGAGAAAAAGACATCTACAAACTAGCTAAAATTAGAGAAAGAAAAACAAGAGACTTTAATCAAGTTAAGTGCATCAAGGGCGATGACTAAAAGGTTTTAGTTAAAGATGAGGAAATAAATAATCGATGGAAAGACTATTTTGAGAAATTATGAAACGAAAATCACTTAGGAAACCTAGAAGAGATAGAAAGTGGTAGGATCCATGAAACCTTCTTTTGTAGAATAAAGAATTCGGAGGTAAAGTTTGCATTGAGGAAAATGAAATTAGGCAAGGCTTTAGGACCGGATGAAATTCCAATTGAGGTTTTGAAGTGCTTAGGGAATGTGAGGGTGTCGTGGTTAATGAAATTATTCAATAAAATTATTGTTACTAAGAAAATGCCCGATGAATGGAGAAAGAATAAAAAGGATATTTAAAATTGTAATAATTATAGAGGGATAAAATTGATGAGTCATACAATGAAATTATGGGAAAGGGTTATTGAAAGGTGCCTAAGAATTGAGACTACAGTGTCGAAAAATCAGTTTAGATTTATGCTGGGTAGATCAACTATGGAGGCTATTTATTTATTGAGGACACTCATAAAAAAGTATAAAGAGAAGAAGAAAAATCTGCATATGCTATTTATAGATCCAGAAAAGGCGTATGATAAAGTACCTAGAAATATAATATGGTGGGTACTTGAGAGAAAATGAGTGATGATTAGGTATATTGAGGTGATATAGGACATGTATAACGGGATTATGACAATTAGGTCTTCCGTGGGAGAAAATAAAGAATTTTCAATCACGGTGGAATTACACCAAGGATCGGCTTTAAGTTCATACCAGTTCGCCCTAATTATGGATGAACTCACTAGGCACATTCAAGATGATGTCCCACTGTGTATGCTATTTGCAGATAATATTATATTAGTAAAAGAAACTCGAAGGAGATTAACAATAAGTTAAAATTTGGAGAGAGACACTCGAGTCGAAAGGGTTTAAAATAAGTAGGAGTAAAACTGAATATATGCAATGCAATTTTAGTAATAAAAGAAGTAGACATAGTGAAAAAGTTAAGATTGAAAATCAAGAAATACCAATAAGTAAACAATTGAGATATCTAGGATCGATCATTAAAAATGCTGGAGAGATTGGAGATGATGTAACTCATAGAATCAACGCCAGTTGACTTAAGTGGAGGAAGCCTCTAGCATATTATGTGATAGGAGGATAACAATAAAATTAAAAAGTAAGTTTTATCAAACAGCTATAAGGACCATAATGTTGGTCAACTAGGAAACAACATAATGATAAGATAAGTGTAACGGAAATGAAAATGTTAAGGTAGATGTGTGAAAAAACTAGAAAAGATAGAATAAAAAATGACTGAATTAGAGAAATGGTAGGAGTAGTTCCAATTGAGAATAAGTTAAGAGAAAATAGATTAAGATGGTTTAGTCATATTCAACGGAAGCTGATAGTGACACCGATTCGAAAAAGTGAGATAATATCTCTTAATGATACTAGAAGTAGAGATAGACCTAAATTAACATTGAACAAAATAATAAGAAAAGATATGAAAATATTTAACTTAAATGAGCATATAGTGCATGATCAAAATGAATGGCGAGAACGAACTCATATAACCGATTCTAAATGATTAGTTCATAAGGTTTAGTTTGGTTTGGTAATTGCACTAACATCCTAAATACTGATTGAATATGTTCTACAATTTGGTTGAGTGGTTGATTTTGTAGGTTATTACACACACAATGAAAACTCTGCAATGCGTTAGAAGTTAAATGGGAAGCGAAGTTCCAACTCTGCTACCCAATGATATTTTAGCAAAATATTTTGTCACTTTGTATTCTTTAGTTGGATTCCGTACGTAGGTTCCTTTTTACTGTCTGTCAAACCAAATTACTATTTTCTCTTTAAAATTCTAGCATCCTAGTCTTCTGTAATCATATTTATAGTACAGTTATTTTGTTACATACAGTTGAATCAGCATAATGTTTATGCATAGGAAATTAATGCATGGTATTTATGAAGTTTTTTATTTTGTAAATAAACTTTTTCTATCCATGACCTCAAGGCTTCGTAGAACAAACCAATTGTTGCTGTCATGATATTGCATCTTGTATTACTTTGAATAGGAAGGTTGAGCGGAACAATCATCAACTTTTGCCTTTTTAATGCACCATACGCCTCGTATTCACAACCATGCTTCTTGTAGCAGCTCATGAATTTTGCTATAAACTATGCGATGGAAAAATAAACGTGAATTATAAATAAATATATACACCTAGAAATGGGACAATTGACTATATATGTGCGTAACATCATGTTATGTTTTCTAAAAATTTTCTAGTTCAGGCTTCAGAAAGCGCTAGCATTTAATAGAATCAGATTAGTGATTTGATAAGATCCTCTTTGGATGCCATTGATTGCAATAGAGTGGGGATGGAAATTGCCCTCTTCAATCCTTATGAAATGATGAACATTCTTTCTGTTCTGACTGGATTATTATGTTCTTTCTCACAGATTGCCTATTTTATTCACGATTATAGATTTTTTTTTTTTTTACAACCTTGCACAAGGTCATAGTAGGTATGTTGCTATAACCAATATAGGATTACCTTCAATCCTCATGAAATGATGATCATTCTTTCTCAATGGATCATTTCCGGTTTTACACATTTCCTCGTGTCGACTGCGTGCAAAGGCAAAAGGCTTCTCACTGTAATCACCGCTCTGAGTACAAGAAAAAAGTAGAACCTATTATGCTTCAGCTTTTATTGCACTGAGAAACAAAACTGTTATATTTCTAATACGCAATCATACTTAGCTTTATACTATTGTTGCCAAAAATGAAGAGGTATCGCTTAATAATGTCGTGCAGACTTTATTTATTTAAGAGAAGTACCGCAATTAGGTAATCAATATGCTCGTGTTCATACATTGTATTCCTCATATACATTGTCGATCTGTGGGTGTACTTCCTCATTGAAGTGCTTCTCTAGTTCTTCCACTAGAGTCTGCAGAAAAACAGAAATAGTTGGTAAAATTTTGAAATCTTAGAGTTGGAATTAAGGACTAGGGCACTCTTACTTTAAAAACGAAATCGGGGGATACATTGTGCTCTATGAGGTTTTGCAGTTTTCCATGGATTGTATATAACCTGTGGAGACAAATCAATGGTTACATGTTAAATTTTGGGATGAAACAGCCTGAAATGGGAGTTCAATGACATTTCATAAATATTGTCAAAAGCTAGAAAGATTTAAAATTTTATTTTCTGAAGAATTTGATTAGGGGCAACTTACTATTTTGGACTTTGATCTTCTAGTATATTTTTTGCAATGTTGGCAATATCATCTTCCCACCCCGTCATAATCTCTTGATCTTCCTTCAAAGAAGGACTGCATGCACATTATTGTTAGTAGTATGCTCTAAAACCAATCATATAGATGATGTTTTAGGGTTGTACTAGCAACATTCATTACTTAATTAAATAAAAGGGCAAGTTTCTTTATCATGTTTTTATTTTATTTCATTTTAATATACATGATATAGTCCATAGAGTAAAAGTTAAGAAAGTTTCTCAAGGTGTTGAGAAGAGCAGACCTATACTTCTTAGTACTTAACTCCTAAATGTTTCTAGTCATAGGATTTTTATTTGAGCACTACGTAATCCGGATAAATTAGCACACACTATGTTTATTCATATTTGATATGAAATGACTTGTCCAAGTCACTAGTGTAGGGACACTGAAAGCAAGTGTGTGGGTGCTTGTTAGAGAGACAAGTACATTGAACGTAACCGTTAACTAACGTAGGATTTTTCATATGGAATTTTACATACCTATCAATGTTAAATCCTAAAGTTATAGTTGTGCAATTGATCTTTAGACTTGAGACACCATGGTTGTCTTGTGTATGAACTTCTATGCTTTAACTATACAATATATTCATATACTAATCATGTAACTTAGATATATATTGTTGGACATAGTTAAGCATGCATAAAGACTTATGAGTGTACAAAATAGAATCTATCATCCTTAGTAATTAAAGGGAGAATGCCTTATGTGATCTTCTATGATATGACTCAAAGAGTCCTTGGCCAAGGCAGAATGATAATTAGAAAAAAGTTTCTAATTGATCATTAAGAGTCATAGTCCTAAGATCGAACACATATGATTGAATTAGGGGTTTGACAATAATTTCATACCCTAGTAATTCAATTGTGGCATTATATGATAGAATGATTGAATTGCATGACAACTATAGATTGAATGAGTTCTTTACCTACTTCGTGCTATCTGGAGGTTGATCATGATATTCTGTTAGGTGTCACTCATAATTAGTAGAAGCCCGAAGAATTAAATTAATATAAATATATTAATTATTCTTCATAAAGGGAGAATTAGAAGAGTTCTAATTCAAGCTAACTTAGAAAAAGTTCTAATTTGAGATACTACTTGTAGGTAGTATCAAATGCCTACAACTGGATATGCTTGAACCAATAGGATCACACACAATAGAATTGATTGGAAACTAAAGGATAAAAGAGAGACAACCAATTAAGAGTTAATTGTGGTAAAAACCTAATTAAGAGTTAGTTAGAGACTTCATTACAATTAATGTTAATAAAGGGGTTATATGTAATTATGAGATAATTGCAGCTTGACCCAAACTAGGATTAGAACCTTTAAAGCACTATAAATACATTTATGTAAGAGGTGAATATAAGATATAACAACTTTCTTGTTAGCACAAGAAGAACCACCTCTCAGTCTCTCTCTGTACTAGTTTTATTATTGACTAAAGTAGATCCTTCAAGTTTGTCAATTTGTGTGGATACCGATAGAGGTCAAACGCATGCGAGGCTTGGCGTAAAGATCAAATTCAGATTTGAAGATTTAAAGTTTTTGAGAATACTTGAAGATTGCTAAAGGCACGCTTCAAGATATAACCCTTAATCTTCTCTATAGATCTAAAGTTTCTCGATTTGTATTAAACATGAATAGATCTTGGTATGAGAAATCAAATAATTATTTTTAAATTCTGCTGCATTTATTATACGATTCCTTTCAATTATTGCTTACAATATGTAGAAGACATATGAGTGGAAATGGAAATGTGAAAGTAATGGGAATAAATTGATTCTGAAGTGATAGAATGAGGGTAAAAACATATTAATTCGAAAGGCTGCAAATCTGTAATTACATAAAGCTGAATATTACTTAAATTGCCAGGTTGCCTCAAATGATCGTATAGCTTGTCGTAGGTTATTCATGGAGTTGTTAGCAATTTTCATAGCAATTTGGTGTGGCAAATTTATGCCTTCTTGTTTTGCTATGAAGTTCAAAACCTCAACAATCTGAGAAAGAAGGGAGGAGAACTTTCAGTTAATCTAAAAAGCAATTGTGGTGTAACACTTAGTTGGAAATATGAGGATGGTAATGTACCTCGTCGTTAGATGGCGGAAGGAGTTGCACAACAGTGCAAGACTTTATTGGCTGAAGCTTGTAGACATCAGTGCAGCAAAAGAGGAGCTTATTACACCCTTTATACCTTTCTAATAGCCATCTGATATATAGTAGGGCATCTGTAGATAATTTGTCTGCCTCATACAGAACAATTGCTGCGGAAGCGCAAAGTGACAAACAATCATTTATGTTGCAGTCCAGGATGTTTATTGATTTTGAAGGCAAATATAGACGATACCTCGACAGTTATCAGGGTTGCACTGCAAAACTTTATCTGATACCATGTTATGTGTCTTGTTGATCAGTTCAACTATGACATACTTCTCATACCCTTTTAGTTCAGAGAGATTGACTTCTACATGTTTAGACGATTCTTTCAAGTTTACATGGATGCTGCTCACTGCTTCTCCCTAGGATGAAAGTATCAGAAGGTCAAACTCATTGATGCAAATATATTTTTACTTCAGAAGCTTAATGATTACTTCTTGAGGGTTGCTTAAGCATTCTAATGTCAGAATACAAAATTTTATTAGATGGATGTGAATGACTGATAGTTTACCAATGCATTATGCACTTCTCTTCTTGCGTTGTGATTGTTTGTGCTGTATGGATCCTCGGAAACTTGAAACTTGATTTAGAGGAACTAGTCCAAGTGTTCCAAAACAGATGGAGAACAGATTCGAGTAGGTATTTCGTATTGTCTAAAACGGTTGGGAAGAACATTGACACTGTGACTTCATTTCTTGTTATAGAGATCTTGTTGAGGGAAGAAAAGCTCAGAACACAACAAAAGGCTCTAGAGGATTAGCAACAGACAATAAAGGGCTGGACTCACCTAGAGAACATGGGAGAGGTTTTCAGAACATTGAATAGAAGGTTTTCCAAATCTTTAGATCACTGTAGCAGTACGATTCGAAGTCAGAGATGCATTTACTCATTGAAGAAGGTAATTCTAAACCTAATCATCATTTTCCCATGATGGTGTCCTGTTCTTCGGCCTAAGCAAACTTCAATAGATTAGGTGCCTTTCAATCTCAATCCTCAGCCTAATGTCATTACAAAGCTTCCGTTTCTTGTGTGTGAAATATAGAACTAATTGCCTGCTCTGTTAAAACAGCTATGTGCTTTTATTAAAGTATTAGGGGATGTTTGATGTAAAGGCAAAATGAAAGAACTTTACCTTCAAGACAAATTCTCTGCACTCCTCCCTTGCCTGTAAAACCTCAAGCAGACACAAGCAACATAAACTAACCCAAAAAAGTGACAACAGGGGTTTTCAGAAAAATGTTTTAGTTGAATTTTCTATATCTAATGCAATGATAACAGAAATCTCATATATTGTGATAGAGTAAATTGATATGCATTTAATTGAGTCATCATTCATGCTATATAAAGGTTGATGATCTGACTGACCAACTGTTAATTCGACACCCCAATCACCTCAGATTAACAGTCTTCTCCTTTCAAAACTCTTATACTCCTACAGTAAGGTGAAGCACAGATTGTATTTACATGAGATTTGTATCTTTCACCTCTATTTTGTCTGATCCAAACACTTTGCGAAGCATAGCCCAAATCATGGTTCTCTTTCCCACCCCAGCAGGTCCTCCAGATATGAAATTGCCACAATCTTCTGCTTTTGCCTATAAAATTGTTCAAGCTAGTTTTCAATATTACACTCTTCAATGTTCTTGATTTTGGCTACAAATTTCAAGTTAGACGATTGAAGTCATGTGATCTTACCAGAGTCCGCAGCTCAAGTGCTTTATCACGGTGACAGAGAAAATCTATTAGGGCTTCAGGCCGATATTTGTCTGCCCAAACAAACTGTCTTCCATTCTCGGTAGGTGATGTTTGTCTAGGTGGTGATGATGGTCGTGAAGGTGGTGATGGTGATGGTGATGGTGATGTTTTTGGTGGTAGTGGTGGCAATGTTGCAGTTTGTGAAACTGGTGGTGGTGGTGGTGATGGTGTTTCTGTTTCTCTCTCCCTCAAAGGCTTCCTTACATATGAGATAGCAGTAGTATTGCTTTCCTTGCCACCACTGCTCACATCTTTCTTTTCCAAATGCATATTTGTCACCACTGTGGTGGTACTTCTAGCTCTTGCAGTCACGGTGATTGCTGCTTTTGTCCTCGACGGTAATGAGGAGCAGGAGGACGAAGTAACACGAGTGTCTTGAGAGCATTTACTAATCCCATCAGAACTTGCACTGGTGAAGTTTTTTTCTTCCTTGGTCTTAGAGATAAAGAAATAACTACCCCATTCTTGCATCTTAACAATGATACTTGTTCTAGAGCTTGAACCGACAGAAGTGGCAGCATGGCTTTCTCTCCCCGGACTAGACACCGAAAGTCTTTGTCGATTGAGAACAAGGGATGAATCTGTGAGTCCCTTGTAATAAGGACTCCTTGGATATGATGTCTTGTAATCCAAAATTTCATTTCTTCTATTAAATTCCTCAAGACTCTCTTTGGTTAAATCTGACTTTTTTGATGCGGGTCTTTTTTGTTGTGTAGGTACCAACTTTCTTCGGCCAAACAGTTATCAGCGAGGAGATTGAATGCGAAGAGAGGTTTGAACTCGGGACGTTGCCGGACTCGGAGTGAGACGAAGAGAGAGATGGACTTGGCATCTTAAAGTTTTTTCTGTGAGAAGAAACACAAAATTTGAGGGAGTGTCGTGGTTGTCATGTGAAGAAGAGGAAATGCTTTTTTTTTCTTGTGTGTGTGGGTGGGGGGGTAAGTATACTTTTCCCCCTAAATTATTGTCTTCATATCACTTTACCCTTTGAACTATTGAATTTCTCAAATTGTCCCCTCGACTACTTCATTTGCTTTCGTGTTGTCCAAAAACCAAAATCCTTTATATGTCAACGTGCCATGGTAAAATCAAACAAAATCACAGTGTGTGACAAAGTTAAACAATTTTCTGTCATTTCTCACGGATACTAAACTAATAATTATAATTAAAAGTGAAGGTCGAGGGGGCAAAGTGGCACAATTCTTGTAGTTTCAGAGGACAAAGTATAATTAACCCCGTTTTTTTTTTTTTGGAGGAAAATCCTGCTCTGGCGGGAAAAGCTATTGGAGAGAGACGTCAATGGCGTCAGTTACAATGGCTTGTTCACGCTGCGGAGTGATCAAAAGACTAACTTGGTGAATACAATGTTTGGAGAATAATAACTTTGTTCCATATGATGCCACAATGTTGGCTGGCTTAGATGGCATTGTATTTTTAATTGAATCCACTCATCCAAGGGTTTTTATTCATTTGAGATTCAAAGTATTTTTCGCTGAAATTAATAGATATAACTAATGATACTCAAAAATGGCATCAGCTATAAATTAAAGGCTATTTAAGTAATTGGTTAATAAAAGAGTCAACGGACGAGATCTATATCCCGACCTTAGAGCTGCACGTCCATCTTGAGAAGAGAAGCTAAGATTGTTCACATACATCCTCAGTTAAAGGAATTCAGGTCGACCAAGAGCGACCTCATGTACAAGTATTCAGGTTGTTCACGTTGCATCACAAGATGAATCAGTCTCTCTAGCTCAAGATAGGTGTTTGGACCGAGTTCCCTTACTCACGAGTTGACTAAAAGAACAAGAGGTTGTCTCAAATAAGAACGACCTCACAACAGACTCTTTCAGAAATATGGAGGATCACAACGCATCCCAACTTGAAGACAGGACACAAGGTCACATCAACATGTTCTAGATTGTAGCCTTTAACAACTCAATATTCTCTCAACAAAATACTAACAAACTTGAGGCCCATGTGATGATGACATAGGGCCACCCCACCTGTGAATATAAATACAAAGACTTTTTCTATATAAAGATATCTAATGAATTGTAACCCTATCTTCTTATCCAAACAATATACAGTTTCTTAATGAGTAAGAGACTCCATTAGAGTAGATTAATCAAGCTTTTCAGCTAATGAACCACTATAATTTGTGTGTTCTTTTCTTTCCTAGTTCATACCATGGTCTTTGGTTTACTGTAGCATTAGGAGAGCTACCAGGCTCCAGCTTGGATCGTCTTCTTCTCCACTAATCACTTGCACACTATTGTTCATAAGCTCTGAACTCTTCAACTTAAACATCCTCTCACGTTTCATGTTCATACATCATCAATACATAAAGTTGTGCGTTACTTTGGTTAAGGAGGGTGTTAGCTTGTTTAGCTAGTAATAAAGTCTTTTGGATAGTCATTTAAGTAAACAGAATCAAAAAATATTTTTTCGGATCATACTATAAAATACTAACTTTTAATGTTAATTGTCCTGTGAGAGAAAAGTCTACATTATTAAAAAGTAGTTACTGTAAAATACTAACTTTTGAGGTTAATTTTGCATATTTTTGGAGATGAAGTTATACTTTCAAAATGTTGTAACTTTGACTCAAAAAAAAAAGGGTGTAATTAAACCCTAAAAGTTGTATTTTTAGGGTCTACCATAATTTTTCTTTTGTTATAAGATATAACTTAACCCCAAATATTGTATTTTGAACAAAAAAAGTACCTCGATATGAGAGTCGTGTGGCCCAGTATATTAAGAGTCATGTAAATCATTTTACTGAAATAGAATTTTTACCTTTGGTCCACCGATATTCCTTTCCGAAAGATAAAAGTAAAAACATGTTAGTTTCTATTTTATTAAAATGATCTACATGCATCTTACTATACTAGTTGTTCCATGTCAACAATTTTTTATTATAATTTTAATTTTATTTTCTATGGTACGGGTTTCAATATTTATTTATTTTTTCAATAAAGTATTAAGATGTTTTTGTACTATTTATTATTTAAGAACATGAAAGACTTTGGACGTATCTGCATAGTGCATAAAAATAGAATAGCTTTTGCTTTTGCGTCCACTGCCATCTTGATCTACAATTGGAATTACCATTCCAATTCATGTCTATTATAAGTATTTTCATTGTCACGAGTCTAAAGCAAACGTATGCTCACACACACACACCCCAATTCATTTGTTTTACCATAAACAATTAGCTCTTAGTTTTATTTGTATAAATATTTTACATTTACAATGAAATTTTTGAAGATTGACTTGCTACATGTTATTTTTTTTTTATAATTAAAAAAAGGGATGAGACCAAAGGAAAATATCCAGAAATCACTTTGATAGATCTTCACTGGTAAGATCATGAGAATCCTGATTGCACTTGTTACTCGTTTCGAGAATGAACCTAACTAGTTTAGTATAGTGATCAACTACCGAGACTCCAAAACTCAAACTTTCAATTACAAAATAAGAAGTTCGGCCCATACAAAAGAATCATGTTTAATTCACCGATTCTTGGGAAGATATTGAGATATGGATATGCTTGCAGAACTTTTGGGTTGGGGGGGGGGGGGGGTGGGGGCTGAAAGGCAAGGACTTGCAATTTAACCCACCAAAGTCTCCCTTGAAAAAAAGTGATATTCAGTGCTTTAGGATTGAGCTAGTTTTTGTAGAATCGTGGCTTCAACGTTAGTTTATGATACAGACTTTAATAGATTAATGCCAAATGGAATTAGAGAATACCAACTTCACACATATGCCTTTGGATCAAACTAAAAATCAGAGATACCCAACATATAATAACACTATCATAAAAAATGTAAGATCAAAATTTTAAAATTTCGGTTCTTACACGTTACTCACCTGTCCGCCACTGAAAACACCACTTCCTATTTGCCTTGTATGTGTTAAGTATGCCACCAGCATTCATTCTAAGCCAGGATCGAACTCTCCATGAGATTCATAGTTGCATTACATATAATTTTTCCTTGTTCGTAGACAAAATTAGATTCTAAATTGTCTTTCATTCTAAGGCCTAGCTGATATGCATACGCTTCATATTCGTCTAGAATTTGCTCCCAGTACAACAAAAAAGAAAAATAAAAGAGAGTACCAAATCGCTTTCATGAGTTGCATTGGGCATCTCATGGATAAGGCCATTATATAGATACACATCACGAAAAATTTAATCCAAAAATTCATTACATAATCTAAATAGACCCGAAATAAAATCAAGTAATCGAACACATAATCAAATACCATGACAGTGCTTGGCGTCTGGAGCAGTCAACATCAATCCCTTGTTCCAGATAGACAATGCCTCCAATAATAAACCATGAAGCTGCCAAAAAAAAACAATGTGGTATTGTCCAGTGGAGTACCGATCAAATTTCTTCCTTAAAGTTCGAGGTTCGAGTCTTGGAGTCCACGTAAGAGCTCGGTAGTTGACTGCTACACTAGACTAATTAAGTTCGTTCCCGAGAGGTGTAATGAACACGATCAAGAGTCTTATGATCTCACCAATAAAAATCTATTAGGATGGTATCTTAGTTCTCTTATTAACCCCACCTTTTTGAAGAGCTAAAAAAAAAAAACATACAAGATACAAATAAAATAATCAAACAAGACAAAATAGTGAACCTGGACACAATTTTTGTGGACAAGGATTTTGGTGAGATTAGTAGAGTAAATCGGATATGGAAAAAGTTCTCGAATCCAATGTAACAAATAATAAAATAATAACCATACAATAAAGAAACAAATTAAACATCAATTCACATGTGTGACAATCCACCAATCATAAACAAAGAATGAATGGTTAATTACACTGGAGGTCCTCAAAATATAGAGTTTGTCTCATTTTGATCTTTAATGTTTCAATTGCATCATTTTCATCACTGAAGTATTAAATATATTTCTATATAGTCCCTTAAACAGACAACATCTAAATTACTAACGATTTTTGATCATAAACTTATCACGTGATACCTAAATATGAGCAACAAATAATTTGAGTAGCTCTTGACCACCTTCATGTAAGGAAGTGGGGTCCATTTTATACATTTTGTAGTTTTTTCTATTGAATTGTTACATCACGTGGCACTGCCTGCTGCCCACGTAGTATAACCGTTACAGCATTACCCACAATATTTACTCCCACAAGGAGACTGTAATTAGATGTTAGAAAACACAATGCAGCTCTCACCTAACATGCTTTTGGAGAATAACCAAAAATTGTGTGAATGCAACCAAGTAACTGGTTATATCCGACTTTGTTCTTCAAAAGTAGAGCATCAGCTGGCCAGAGAAGGTGATAGTCATGTAGATTCATTTTCATGGTTCAATCCTTCACCATAAAACGGGGGTGTTCGAACTCCGACTGTTTTTTATGCAACATGGTCGGAGTACTCGTCAGTAGTGAGGAAACTAGCTGCAAAATAGGCCATAAATACAATTTTGTTCACAAAGATTATAAGTAGAACAAAACAAGGATAAAATGAAAATGAGTGAATGAATTAATGAAATGTCAAGGAGAAAAAATGAAGTATAGAGAGCATATGGTATATACGCGTAGGGAACAGAAAAATAGAATAAGTATGGCAATCGACGTGGCCCTATGGGTCGATGTCATGAATACACTTAAGCATTTACGCAAAAAAAAAAAAAAAATATCTCATAAGCCATTTTTTGATAGAAAATCACAAGTTTGACTTTATAATGTCATTAGACTACCTTTGCAAATAGAAAAGTAAGCAACTAATTGTCAAATATGGAAAGTAATGGAAACTACCACATAAACACAAGAAATTAAAATTTTTCACTAGTGAATAGAGATCGTTGATTGTAACATACAATGAACATTCAACGTTGTAGAGAAGGTTCAGTCCAAAACCTTACTGATAAAATATAATCATAACTGTAACACAAATCTCGAATGATATAGTCATATGCAATATCGGTGATCTGAACTTTATACCTCTTAAAATCTTGATGTACGACTAAATACTAGGATGTTTTGGGGAGAGAGAATTGGTCGAGTGAGAGTAATGGGTCAAAGACTCAAATCAAATCACAAATGCAGCAGCCATCAGAATACGGAGATCATGAGTGGGCAAGGGGCAGAGCCTCGGTAACAAACTTCCCTGCTGTGGCAAAAAGCAATTCATATATGCAGTAATAAAAATACTCAGGTTTAGGCCCCACCCATGCCAACCCAAACCAACCTACCTTTACATGCAAAATCCCATGCTCTCTCTCTCTCTCTCTCTCTCTCTCTCTCTCTCTCTCTCTCTCTCTCTCTCTCTCTCTCTCTCTCTAGTTCTAGAAAGCTTGAAATTATTGATTAGTGAGGGCAGTGATGGCTATTAAGTTGTTAACCTGGTGATCTTTTTTGGGTTTATGTAAACACAAACTATGTTGCTTTGAAGTTTGTGCAGGGGTTCAACAGGTTCAATCTTTAATTTAAATACCCCCCGATAGTTTCCTTCTAAAGGCTTGGGTAAGTCATCCTCCTCCACTTGCCAAAATACACATGAAATTCTGTTGCAATCTTTCTTATTACCAATTCATGTACTTACTTTTTTCCATTTTTGTAACTTGTTATCTGGTGCAGCCTGTGACCCAAAAAACAGAAGACAAGGAAACATAGCTACCTGGTGATCCTGAAAATGAATGACCACAGTGGTTGCTTTGATCCCAACACCATAGAAGAAGTACTGGCTGAGGATCGTTTTTCACACACCCATGTGCCAAACTGCAATCCAAATTTCTCCATTGAAGAACTCTCCTACCACCAAAATTTTTCCCAAGAAGATGACCCTGCCTACAATGGAGTTGCCCCTGCAGCCGTGGAAGTAGAGCTGCAACAACTGAGTATGGAGCAGGAACACTATTACGACCCCAACAGCAATCATAGTGACACCTATTTGATGCAAGAAGCAGTTCATGACTCCGACCATGCGTTATCAGGTGATCAGTCAAATTGGGAGACCAATGTCCATGACATGCAGTCCATGAGTTTCTGTCACTACGCTCACCAGCAAGATCAAAACTTGCAACAAGAAGAAATTCAAAATGGTCATTTCCAAGGCTTAAACTCTTCTTCATTGCCAGTCACCCCATACCCCCCAACACCAGACCTCCTCAATCTGCTTCACTTGCCTCGATATTCATCTTCCTCTGCCACCCAATGCATCAATCTCCATTACAAACCCAATCCCGATCTCCGCTAATTTTCCAAGCTCATTAAGCTTTCTAGGAGACCTTATGACAGCAGAGAGCACACCAGCCTCAAATGTTTTCTATGACCCACTGCTACCTTTGAACCTTCCTCCACAGCCTCCAATGTTTAGGGGGTTGATTCAGCCGTTGCCGCACAGATACAACTTAAGACCCAGAATTGAATCTTTGCTTAATGGGGTGGATGAGAGAGGGGCAAGTGGAGGTGTGTATCAAGGTGGGAATGGGAGGCATGTTGACAGTGGAGTTTTAATTTCTCTGGGGACATGAAAGGGAAGGATGGCAAGGATATAAAACACTTCACTACTGAGAGGCAAAGGAGAGAAAACTTGAATGACAAGTACAAGGCCTTGAGAAATTTGCTTCCCAACCCCACCAAGGTCTCCCTCTCTCTCTCTCTCTCTCTCTCTCTCTCTCTCTGAGTGTTAGAAACGATTTATGTTTGTGTGAAAGAAACAATTTCTACCAACAACTCTTTAACTTGCATTTTGATGAAACTATACTGCTTGATTGCCTTTTTTCTTGTTAGCAATTTCCACTTTCCACTCTGCTATCTATTCCATTTATCTCTTCTGCTTCTATAGATTACCTCACAATTCGATTAAATTAACAGCCTCAACATGCATAAGCTTTCATCAGCTAATTTTCCTTGTTTGACATTTTCAAATTTTTTGTTTGGGGGAGCATACCAAGAATGATAGAGCATCAATAGTGGGAGATGCTATAGAATATATCAAAGAGCTTCTTAGAACAGCTAATGAACTTAAGATTCTGGTGGACAAGTGACGTGCGAGAGAGAGGATCAAGAGGCACAAAACAGAAGTTGATGCAGGGGATGGAAAGAGTATTAGCATGACACCTCTTGGTGATCAAGACCAGCCCTACAATGGATCATCATTAAGGAGTTCATGGCTTCAGAGGAAGTCCAAGAATACCGAGGTTGATGTCCGTATCATCGATGATGAAGTGAACATCAAACTCGTTCAGCAGAAGAGGATCAATTGTTTGCTGTTTGTGTCAAAGGTCCTTCATGAACTTCAGCTGGATCTCCACCATCTTGCTGGTGGGTTCATTGGCGATTACTACAGTTTCCTGTTCAACACCAAGGTAACTAGTCTATACTCCATTTTATCAGTCGAATACTCTCGGTCCGTGTTGATACCTTTGAAATTGTACTTTTCATGTATGTCAAGCTTTGACAGTTCATATCTGTGTGATGCTCTCTGCCCACATTGCAGATTTTAGAAGGTTTCTCTGTCTATGCCAATGCAATCGCCAACAAACTCATCGAAGTAGTGGAGAGGCAGTATGCAACTATACCACCAATTAGTAGCTATTAGGTACGAATTTTTCTGAGTTAGTCCTTTTTTCACCTTAAATCGTTACTACTTTTACAAATACTCATATACCATATGTACAATTAGGATCACAGGACAATCATGGGTAGAGTATAGCAATTTTATTTTTCATGTTGTTGGAGCTTAGTTAAACTTAACTAAGAACAAGAGAAAGAGAGCATATAAAGAACAAAAAAGAATGGGAGAAGGTTATATTTTTTACTAAAGAATGATCTGCTTAAATACATGAGTTTGCAACTAAAAACCAGAAATAAAAGCAACAAACTTCCTAAACTTTAGCTACTAACCTTAACCGCTAGTAAATAACAGAAAATCAAAACAAATCTCCTAAAAACTTGGTCAAAGAGTATATAATGCACTGAATATCAGTTGCAGCCCTTAAGTCCTGATCTTAAAGACACCTGGCATGCAAACCTGAGCTTGCAGCCTCAGTTTCACATGTGCAGCCACCTCTGCTAGCCATGTCAGCATCCACATCAGCAGCTACTGATGCACACATTCAACACTCCTCCTTGCATCAGTGGGTGGAGATTCCAAGTTTCTCTCTTAAAAACTCAAACCTGCTTCTAGGAAGAGCTTTAGTGAAGATATCTGCCAGCTGGTTTTCAGTCTTGCAATGCTTCAAACACACTGCACCATCTTTTTGAACATCTCTGAGAAAGAACAACTTTATACTGAAATGCTTTGTTTTTCCATGAAAAACTGGATTGTTGGAGATAGCTATGTCTGCTTGGTTGTCCACCATCACCTCTGTACTCATCCCTTGCTCCAAGTGTAAATCAATTAGAATTTTTCTTAGCCATAAGGCCTGATTAACAGCAGCTGTGGCTGCTATAAACTCTGCTTCAGCTGTTGATTGTGCAACAATTTCTTGTTTTTTCGAACACCAAGAGAACACACCTGATCCAAAGCGGAAACAATAGCCTGATGTACTTTTCATGTCATCTAAAGACCCCGCCCAATCACTGTCAGAGTAACCCTGCAGCTTGAAACTCTGACATGTACTGAACTTGATACCATAACTTAAGGTCCCCTTGACATACCTTAGAACTCTTTTTGCTGCTTTAAAATGACTTTCACTTGCACAATTCATGAACCTTGATAGTACACTTACAACATGCAAGATATCTGGTCTTGTTGCTGTGAGATACATTAAGCAGTCAATTAAACTTCTGTAAAGAGTTTCATCTGCTTGTTTAGCTCCATCATCCTTGCACAGCTTCTCCTTTTGACACATTGGAGCACTCATGCTTTTACAATTCTCCATGTTAAATTTCTTTAGGATCACCTTTGCATACTTCCGTTGACAGATGAAAATTTTATCCTCTTCCTGTTTAATCTCCATTCCAAGGAAGTAAGACATTTCTCCCAGGTCAGTCATCTCAAAGACTTGCATCATATCTTCTTTGAACTGCTGGATAAGTTTAGCATTGTTACCCGTAACTAGAAGATCATCAACATACAAGGAGATCACAATTAAGTTAGCTTGATCACCTTTGACATATAAAGTTGATTCACTAAGGCTTTTAACAAAGCCTAAGTCCAACAAATGCTCATCAATTCTACTGTACCAAATCCTTGGGGCCTGTTTTAAACCATACAAAGGCTTCTTCAATAGATAAACCTTGTTCTCATGCCCTTTCACAGCAAAACCTTCAGGTTGCTCAACATAGATTTCTTCCTCTAGAAATCCATTTAGAAATGCTGATTTCACATCAAGTTGATAGATTTTCCATCTTTTTTGTGCTACAATGACTAACAACAGCCTGATTGTATCTAGCCTTGTAACAGGGGCAAATGTATCAAAAAAATCCACACTAAAAACTTGAGCATACCCTTTTACCACTAACCTTGCTTTGTGCTTGTTAATTTAGCCATCTGCGTTTAGCTTTGTTCTAAACACCCACTTGACTCCAATCACCTTTCTGTGTTCAGGCCTTTCAACAAGTTCCCAAGTCTGATTTTTTTTAATCATGGAGAGCTCCTCCTGCATTGTAGCCCTCCATTTGGGATCCTTTTCAGCTTCCTAATATCCTGAAGGTTCAAGAATTGCAACGTGCATCTCTGATAAACATCAGAGAGCAATCTAGTGCCTCTTACAGGAGGGTCATCAACTAACTCATCCTGATTTTGTATAGGATCAACAATCAGCTTTTTTTCTACAGTATTCCAGCTCCATTGCTCATTCTCCATGAAGTGCACATCCCTGCTTATCAGAATTTTTCTTGTGTGAGGTTGGAAAACTCTGTAAGCCTTAGATATTGAGCTATATCCCACAAAGATGCCAGGCTCAACTTTCTTATCAAGCTTGTCTCTTTTCATCTGTGGCACATGAGTAAAACACAAGCATCCAAACACTTAAAAATTTTGCAAAGAAGGCTTGTAACCATACCAGGCCTCAAAAGGAGTCTTCCCATTCACTGCTTTGGTGGGAAGCCTGTTTAGCAGAAATATTGCAGTGTTTGCAGGCTCTGCCCAATACTCTTTAGGCAATCTTTTTTCATAGAGCATGCACCGGACCATTTCCACAATTGTTATGTTCTTCCTTTCACTCACTCCATTCTGCTGTGGAGTATATGGAGCAGTGAGTTGATGCTCAATGCCTGCTTCATCATAAAATAAGTTAAATTATTCTGAAGTATATTCTTTGCCATTGTCAGACCTTAGAACTTGAATCTTGCAGCCGCTTTGGTTTTCAATCCACTGCTTAAATTTAAAAAAAACTACTGCAACTTCTGACTTAAATCTGAGAAAATAAATCCAACACATTCTGGTGAAGTCATCAATGAAAACTATGTAATATTTACTCCCTTTAAGTGAAGGAGTTCTCTGAGGTCCAGCCAGATCAGTGTGGATGAGTTGCAGCTTCTCGGTTGCTTTCCAAGTTGACTGTGAGAAGGGTAGTCTTGCTTGCTTGCCAAACTAATAAGCCTTGCAATTTGGCACATCAGCTTCCAAGTGAGGCAATCCCTGAACCAGCTGCTTCCTTTGCATAGACAAGACTGCTACATGATGAAAATGACCTAGTCTTTTGTGCCAGGTCTCTATGTTGCTCATAGCAATAGGATAAGCTGCATGTTCCTCCTTCATTGGATCTAGTGTGAAGCTTTTGCCTCTCATTTTGATTCTGAAGACTTCCTTATCATTGGCATCCTTGATTAGACATTGCTTATCTTCAAAGATGACTTTAAATCCCTTCTCAAGTAACTGTCCCACACTTAGCAAATTTTGGTCAATATCAGGTACAAACAAAACATCAGTAATTAGTTTAGTACCTGTGTAACTTTCAATTGCTACAATTCCCTTTCCTTTGACAGTAATGTGCTCACCATTGCCAATTCTGACTTTTGATACCTCTAATCTGTCTAGCTCTCTGAAAAGCTCTTGATCATAGGTCATGTGATTGGTACAACCACTATCCACTAGCCAACATTCACTTGAGCTGTTGCTTGCAAAACAAGTTGCTACAAACATCTGTTCTTCCTCCTCCTGCTGGTCTGTAACTTGAGCATCATTCCTCTGCTGAAAATTGCTTTTGTAGATTCTCTCATGATGCCCCAACTTATTGCACTTATCACACTTAACATCAGGTCTTCTCCAACGCTTGAAAGGTGGATGACCCTTTTTGCCACAGTGTCTGCAAGGAGGAAATTCTTTGTTGTTTCCTTCACTACTGTTGTTGGTGTTAGCAGCTGCTCCTGGTGTGCTAGAATTCTTCTTTTTGTTTTTCTTTTCTTGCCTTTTTCTCCTTGGTTGATTTTCAATTTAGCTTGCAATGCTCCCTCCACAGAACCTTCAGCTCTCATTATTCTTCTTTGTTCTTGGGCCTGTGAAGAATTTAGAAGTTCTGCCAGGCTTATTCTTGACAGATCTTTAGCATTCTCCAAGGAAGAAATAGTAGCTTCAAATCTTTCAGGGATAGTTACTAATAGTAGCTTCAAATCTTTCAGGGATAGTTCCTTCATGCACATTGCTGTTTCAAATGCTCCGATCAGCTATAGAATTGGAAGTGAACCCTGAATGCAGAAATCCGTTTGAGGTCAGAATTGGAAAGCAACTAGACGAGGCCACAATTAGAGACCTCTCAATACCTTCCCAAGGGTATGCTAAAGAAGAGCAGTATGATACAGAATGTGTGAGAAGGATTTTGAAAAGTTTCTACTGCAATTACACTGGTCCGGATGCTTCTGGACTAATCGCTGTGGCAGAACTTGTAGAAGATTTCTTGGCACAGGTCGCGAGTGACATTGACTTGAAGACAAGCACATTCACGTCACTTGCTGACATGTCAATTGCAGCATCGGAGGGAACACGACGAAGCTCTGATGGTATATACAGGGCCATCGATATCTATTTGGACAGGCATCGATATCTGACAAGATCAGAGAGAGAGGAGGCGTGTCGGTTGTTGGATTGCAACAAGATGTCCCCGGATGCTTGTGAGCATGCTGCACAGAATGAATGGTTGCCATTGAGATTGGTGGTGCAGGTATTGTTTGTGGGACAGTTGAAGCTTAGAGACACGATTGCGAAGGAGGTAAGTTATGATGACAGGTTAAAACAGTTGGGGGATGAAGAAGAGGGAGGAGAACCAGCAAGAAACAGCAGTAGTAAAGAAGTGCTGACAGAGATAGAGAAAATGGGTAGCAAGGCGTTGGAGTTAGAAAGAGAATGCTGCAGCATGAGGGAAGAAATTCAGGGTGATTCCTGCAGTGGAGTGAAAAGGGAGAAAATTAGCATGTGGAAAGAAATGAAGAGGAAGTTTGGGTGCATTAGTAGCATGCATGATTGTAACTGCCATGTGAAGAAGAAAAAGTTGCACCCAAGATAGAGAGTTTCAATGTTAACTTTCTCTCTCCTCATATTATTTACACTGTAGTTAAATCTCTCTCTCTTTTTTTAACTTGCATTGTTGTTTAAATCATTGACCTTAAACTACCTTAATTAATAATCCTCCTGTATGCTACTCAGATCATCAGCTAACAGAATTAGCATGTGTGTGTGAATTGATGGCCTTCCAGTGAGAATTGATAATCAGAAATGACAGCCATAGAGGGCGGGCCTTGGCACAACTGTAAGGTTGCTCCATTGTGACCTGGAGGTCATGGGTTCAAGTCGTGGTTGCAAAGATAACCCTCCCCCGACCCTGCAATGACAATAGCCTCGTACACTGGGTACACCTTTTTACAGCCATAGGTGTATGTGTTTTCTTGTCTGTAACAGGCTTGCCACAAATCTCTGATATTTTCTATGCAGCTGAGACTGCTTCAGACAAATTTCTGAAGTTTCTCCACACCATTTTTCTTTCTTTGCAGTTTGTAATGTCTTCGACTTTCTGCCAGGATTTTGTGCCATGGGCTTTATCAAAATCCAGGATTGCCATATGAGAGTAAAAATTTTCAGACATAAAAAGGCAACCTACGGCACGAGGATCCCCCCCCCCCCCACAGGTCTAGAGAGAGTAAGATGTATGCAACTTTACCCTGCACGTGGAGTGACTATTTCTGCGACTGAAACTCTCAACGCCCAGATCACAATGGAGTAAACTTATTGATGCACTAAGGTGTCTAAAAATTGTCCAATATGATGGCCAAAATTGTGTTTTTTCACTCATAAGAAATATTGGAAAGCAGCATACCCTTTCTTCATATTTGAGAAGATACACACTCTAACATGCTTGCTTCTTAATGTGGTCATCAAAATTTGGTGGGTTATGTTCTCCAAACAGAGGCACCTCCTACCAAAATGGAAATACTACACAGCTGCAACACACAGGCACTTAGTCTAGGAATTTCCTGTGATGGGGTTTTACAATTGGGAATTAATATTTTTCCTTCAAGCTATCAAAGGCCAACACTTGAGTCATAGTTTAACCCCCACACTACAGAGCTGCCAGTAGGGGCAGCCGGAGTCCTCGTGAATTGAACCTTGCTTGCTAACCTCTTGGGAGTTTGGGAGGATCATAAACGAGGTGGGGCACTGCAAGTTACTGGACCACCAACCCGGTGGTATTTTCAGTCCATTTTAATGCATCTTTTCCTGCTGCTATACATTAAAATTTCAAGTCTTCAATCAGTTATGGTTTATTAGCCAGTTCACAAAGCATCTCCTTCCATTCAGTCACAAAGCACAATGTTGACATTGAAACTGTAGTTTGTATCATGTTGAAAAGTAGCCCCGTTGCTTGTCATAAAGTTTCCTTGTAATAGCAGGCTTTTAGGCAGTTAGGAAGGGGAAGAAAAGTCTCCTCTCTATCAGGAATCAATAAAACTCAACTCAATAAAGTTTCTTCCCAACTATTTGATGTTGACTACGTGAATCCTATTTCATTATTGTGCTCTATCAAGAGCAATCGGCAGAAAAGATCCCCAATGGTCTCCTATGAGAAATAGACATTCTCGTTAAAATCAAGTGCATTGTATGTATTGATGTTTCAAGGCTTCAAGTCACAGTCAAGACAGTGCCCACTGCCCAATGCTCCTTTTTGGGTGTAAACCAAGGGAAATGCAGTGTTCATTTTGCACAATGGAGCCACCAAATTATTTTACAGCATTTGGTTTCATTTTCTATAAAATCTTTACTAAACTTATCACTCAGAGGCTGTCTGTGTTTTTGCCTAGTTTGATTTCATTTGAACAACATGGTTTTGTGAAGGGGAGAAATATTAGGGAGTGTGTCTTTTTGGCTCAGTTAATGGTGAGGGTTGAGGCTGGAAATATGATATTGAAATTGGATATGATGAAGGCATATGATCGGCTTGAGTGGGATTTTCTTTTAAAAGTGTTGGAATGTTTTGGATTCTCCACATTGTTTGTTCAAATTGTGGCAACTGTTTGGAAAATCAGTACTTTTCTGTTACTGTTAATGGAGTTGGGAGAGGTTTTTTTCCTTCTTCTAGGGGACTATTATCCCCTTACCTTTTTATTTTGGCTGAAGAGGTATTAAGCAGGGAATTAAAGAAAGTTTTTAGTCAAGGCTTGGTGAAGCACTATCATTTGGGTAGAGGGGCCTTGTTGGTTAGCTATTTGCAGACGATACTTTTGTTTTTTTGAGAGGAAATAAAAAATCCTTAAAGAATGTAATGGATTTCTTCAAATTGTATGAGGGGAGTTCGGAGCAGAGAATCAGTCTTCCAAAGAGTTCTATGTTCTGTTCTAAGTTTATATCAGTGGAGAGAAGGGGTGTGTTGTCTAGGATGGATGGAATCCCTGTTAAATCTTGTCCTTTCACCTGTCTAGGTTGTCCCATTATGTAAGGAAGGGTTCGAGTTAGTTATTTTGAAAGGCTTGTGATGCAGTTTCGTCAAAGATTGGAGGGTTGGTATACTAAGCTGTTGTCGAATATGGGGAGAATTTTGATGGTTCAGTATGTTCTTTCTGCAATTCCTATGCATTTGCTGGCCTGTTTAAACTTGCCCAAAACTGTGATTTCTAAACTTAACTCTCTAATGGCTAGCTTTATATGGTCAAATAAACTGAATGTGAAAAGAAGGCACTGGGTTGCTTGGAGTAAAATCACTCTGCCCAAGATGGAGGGTGGTCTGGGCTTGAGAAAATTTGAAGAGATTCAAGCTGCATTTCGTATGAAGCAAGTCTGGAGCTTGTTAAGAGGTAATTCTTTATGGGCTCAAGTTTTTAAATCTAAATTTTTGAAAGGAAGAAGTTTGTTGAGGTGTTTGGGTAGATCTTATGTGGCGGGTTTTGAGATGTTAAGGCCTTTTTTTGAGAGGGTCATTGCTGGTTCGAAGGTTTTGATTGGCTCTGGCACGGATGTTGATTTTCTCTGTGATAACTAGACTGGCAATGGTGCTTTGATAAGTAGGATGGATTTTTTTCCCCAATTTTTTCCTAAAGTGGCTGATTTATTTGTTAATTCGCATTGGTCCCTTTCTGATTTGGAGAGTTATTTACCTGTGCATTTAAAAGAAGAGGTTTTAAATTCTGGGATTTGTCTTTCGGAAGTTGATGACAAGGTTATTTGGCAAAGTACTCCTGGTGAATTTTCTGTCAAGACTGCCTGGGGTTTAACTAGGGAGAAGGGTCTTGTGAATGAGCTTGTTTCTCTAATCTGGAAAATTAAAACTGCTCCAAGTGCCCAGGTTATTGGTTGGAAATTAGTAAAGAAAGCTCTGCCTTTGGATTCAACTGTTATGCGTATTTGGGGGAAGTTTGCTGTGTTTGGTGGTTTTTCGTTGATACAAGGTGAGAGTATTTTGATGAGATTTAGAAGACTTTGTAGAATTTTCAGAAGGAAATCTCTAAGTCATGGGGTGCTGAGAAGTTTAGCTTTGGTTATTTCTTGGCAGCTCTGGAAAGAGAGATGTAGAAGACTTGCTGGGGAGGGAAGAATTTTTTCTTTTTCCTTGCTTGCGAGAATTTGTAGTATTCTTAGGTATCAGTTTCGATGTATTTAATTCTAAGGTGCTTGATGATGCTGCTAGTAAAGAATTTTTTAGCTTTCTGCAACTTGAATTTGCTGGGAATGTTGTATTAAAGTGTGCTTGGGTGAAATGGGTTAGTCCACCTGAGGGAATGTTGAAACTTAAAACCGATGGAGCTTCCCGAAATAATCCAGGGTCTGCTGGTGGGGGTGTGGTGGTTAGAAATGAATGGGGAAAAGTGGTCTTGGCTGCTTCTTTTTGCTATGGAATTTGTTCGAACACTATTGCAGAGTTTCGGGCTTTGTGCGATGGTCTGAGGCTTATTTTGCAATATGGGTTGTCTTTTTATAACTTTATTATTGAGTGTGATTCTTTGATTTTAGTTAACTCTGTTCGGGGTGTTTGCTGTTGTCCTTGGTCTTGCTGGAATTACTTGAATCAGATTAAGGAATTACTGGGAAATCTTGAGTTTCAGTTAGTTCATGTGTTTCGTGAAGCAAATGGAGTGGTTGATCGGCTTGCTGCTCAGGCTGTGCTGTGTGGGAATTCTAAGGTTTTTTCGGTGGGTCTTGCACTGCTCAAGCATCAGCAAGGGTTACCAGTACTACGTAAACGAAAAAGGGTGATTTTTTATGATAATGGCTAATGATGTGATGTTATTGGAGTTGTTTGCTCATTTTGCCTGAAGTAAAGTTTGACTTGGTTGAATTGGTGATGCATTATGAGGATTTTTTTGAAGAACCTATGCTGGGGGAGTTGTTTAATGTTTTGAAGTTGATTTTTTTGTTTTATGGTGGTATTACTAGGCGTCTGTGCCTTTTGTTTTGTTTTGTTAAGGCAACTGTGCCTGTCTCTTGCTTCTTGTAATTCCTGTTTTGTTAATAAAAAAAATTTCTTTTGTTTAAAAAAAAAAAAAAAGGGAAATGCAGTGTTCATTTTGTCTAATGCTTGTTTCAACACTTGGTAAGGGTTTTCTTTTCTCCTCATCAAAAACCGGGTGTAGATTTGGCCTAATTCTCTGCCAGGATTGTGGTCTGGCGACAAAAAGCATTGGGGATGAAAATCCCCCTAGACCACGTGAGTCATGAGTTGGAGTCTTGGAGATAAACGTATAACGATACTTCATTATGTTCCAACTTCTACGCTGGAACAGCCCCCGATTGGCTGAGATGGGGATCAAGTTGCGACTCAACCACTTTGAGGGAGTGGACGATGTTCCTGTTACACTTGCCCAAAATTTTAAACAGAAAACACAACTTTAGGCCCAAACATTTACTGTGCTTGTCACAAAAAAGCAGCCTTCACCTTATGAATTACCCAGCTTGATCTCTGATAAGTACATTGAAAGAATGCTAGATCTACCATCACCAATGAAACCTGATTCCATTTGCCATTACTCAAAACATAAAATTGTATTGTGAGCAAGTTTCCAAGATAGAGAAAAAAGAAGACAGAAATCCTCGGTCAAAAGTAAAGTATTTTATAACCTGAGCCAACGTTTGTCTCCGAGAACCTATCCAGAAACATAGACAGTTCTGACTATGATTTACTACGATAATGTCACAACACATCGAACTGAAAACATGGGGATCACAACATGTTCTCACAGTTTAAAAGTAAATTGAAGGCAAACATTTTGCAGTATGATTCTTTGCAGCAGTAAAGATGCAACTCAGGAACTATAACGGGGCTTCACATCTTCCTCAAAAGAAGAAACAACCTTTGGTCAACCTTAAATTTACCCATCTTGGCAGGGTTTCCCTTCGGCATCAGTTGAAGTCCTCCAAAGGAAATTTACACCACCCTGAAGCCAAAAAGAAAATCCAATGAATAGACCATTACAATTAAGATGAGGTTTGGCAAAATCCATTAAGCTAATAGGTTGAGAGAATTTTTTTTTCCTCCAGAAAAACACACTTTTAAAATCAGCTTTTATCTATGATGAGGCTAAAACATAAGCAACATAGTCGTCATAACTTTCCACCAACAAAGTCAGAGTCCATGCTTTCAAGCCAACTGCAGCAGATACAAAGTAGCCCTCACAGTTCTACACTTTTGTGCCCAGACATGCAAAAAAAATGGAAGACGTGTGTCTAGAAAGCATGCATACAATAAATACACTTTAACATCTGGTCCTTCGGTGTTTTCTGAAATCTTATATAATAGCCCATGCATGACATACTCGAACTTGTCTGCAAGTGATTTCTGCTTGCCCTGAAATCAGAGAAATATCATTTTATAAGTGCTATTATGCCTTGAAAAATTGAAGCCAGAATTTTGTATCGAATATGTACTACCAAGTTCAAAAGAGATTGTTTAAACATTTATGTGGACTATGAATGAGCCATCTTAACCGATCTCACCAATAGATTTGAACACAAAGAAACTCAACAGACAAAGTAAACACCCAATCTAACGCAATGGACATAGTAGGAAGAGTCTGTGCCATGGTAACTTGGACAATGACCACCATTGAGACTCATGTAATCAAATGAATTTTTTTCTCTACTATGAATTTATTCTAAATTTAAGACATGTGACAAAACAGCTAAAGGATCGGGACCAATGAAGCTTATGTATCTGCAAATAAGGCTACCGCATGTTTGATTGGCACTGCTCACAATATAAGCAGATTTTCATGGCTCCAAAAAGCTCCAGAACTGAAACTAATTCAAAAGTCAACTAGACACATTTGGACATTGAGAATTGCTGTGCGCTGGTTGGACAGGATCAACAATCTTCTAGGTTACTAAAATGAAAGAGTAAAGCTAGCAATGCAGAAAAGCACATAACGAGAATATTCACAGTAACAAGACCAGAAAACAGTGCGACGCCGAGGTGTAAGGTGCTATGGTGATGGCTCACATCAATATTGAATATACGACGTCAACTCCATTGGGCCCACCCCAATTACCTAATTGCTCCCAAATAAAAAAATCTCTCCCTCTCACTCTCTTTCCCTAGAAACGAAAAGGTCAAAAGAAAAGAAACAAGGGTTACTCAAAGTGTATTCCTGATTATGTCACAAGTGATCAAGTCCTTGCCAGCTGCCACCTCAGTAAAATTCTATCTAACCTACCTTTCCTTCACATAGACATAACTAAGCAACTCACTAATAGAATTAGGTGCATTATTGTTGATATTGATACAATTGCTACTAAGGTAGGTAGTGTTAGTGAGATATGTTACATGACAACCAAATCCTCTTCCGTTTAGTCCCTTTAACCTTCCCATTACATGTGCTTTACCCATGGAGTTTGGTGCATTAGTTTTTCAACAAATTGCCAATCAGGTAGCTATTTGTAGATAACGGGAAAAGAAACTTCTTAGCCATCTTGTTCAGCTCATTTCTTGCTACCACTGCCCCTATCCTGCATGGACTTATATCCAATTCAAATTCAACTAGACCCATATCTCTCATTCTTGCCATTGGTCCATAACCAGCCATCTTAGCCATATCATCTTTTTGTCACCTATTAGTGGTTTATTTTTCCATATAACTATGTACAATCACACTGGGAGAAGCAAGATAGCTAAACATAAAACATTCACTTACAGGGCCACCACAAGGAAAATTACAAGCAAATCCAAGAGTTCATATTTCTTAGTAAATTGTAATGTCAAATTTGAACTCATGGACAAAAGCTTTAATAATCAATAGCCACCATAAATAAATTTTTATATGGCCCCCCAACTACCAAGCCAACCTCTTAGTTCCCACAACTCAAAAAACAGAACAATACCCTGGACTAAATGAGGAAAATGCGTCAACAAAAAGGACCAAAGCCTACAAAAGAGTCTATAGCTCCAAGCAACACTAAATAATTGTCTGGCCCGGAATCTGCCAAACAGAGCACAACACGTTTGAAGAATTCCCCATGATTTCAAAATTCAAAAAGAACAATACCATCCAGAAGAGGATAGTCAACAAAAAGGACCAAAACCTACCAAAAAATCTAGCTCCAAACAACACTAAAAATGAGATAAAGAAAAAAAAGGAAACTTAAATAATTGATGTCATTCCAAACAAAGCACAATACAACTGAGGAATTCCCAATTTCATAATTCAATGTTCTATGAGTGATGTTTTCTTAATGTTAAGAATATTCGTATTAGTGTCCATAGTATAGGTTGTAATTAGTACACCCATGTATAGTACTGGTCTTTTACGTTTCATTGTATAACTATAAATATAATTACGTAGTCAGAGGTAGGATAACAATTGCTTTTCTCCCTCTCCCATAATTCTTTCAATCCCTTCTCTACTAACAAATCTTAAAACTTAACACTTTATAAATGCACTGGAAAAAACATGGGCATGACTGGGGATTTCCAGATGAATTTCACCAAGAATCTATGAAACACATACTCTGTGTGGGTTGACGTATTGGTATCGAATACCGTATCGAATATAATACTCATCCGATACTTGAGCATACATTTCGAATATGCACTAGACACCAAAAAATAATAAAATATTTCTTTATTTTTGGATAGGTATCGGATAGTTATTACACGTATCCAATGCTTGGATATGGGTATCTAAGATAAATAAACTTCAGATATAGAAGTGGATACACATAGCAATGTGTAAATTTAAATTTTTAATTTTTACCGTTTCCTCTCAACTTCAAATACTATGATGCAAAAAGAAAAAAAAAATTAAATGGCTTTGAAGTTTGGTTTTTTTAGGTATTATCCACTATCACGCATGAAAAGCACATAAAATAGGTTAATTACATCATATTTCTTGGCAAGAAGTACTTCTAAGCAAATTAGTTACTTAAAGTTGGTTTAGGTTTGTGACACTCCAAAATCCTTGTGTTTGTAATTACCTGATTGATCACCTATCAACTTGCGGAATATCCATGGATATCATGTGTTAGAGTATATGTGGCTCATATATTGCTGTGTGCATAATGGCAAGGAGGTAGATGCCGGAGCGGGATTTATATAAAAGGGATGCTGATTAGTTGGGGGTGCGGGGGCAACGCCCCCGCGGTGCGGTACGGTACAGGGGTATTTTTGTAAATACGTCCATATTAGGGTTATATAAATACTTAAGATGTAACCCTATTCTATAATGGAAAAGAACGGCCGCTCGCTCTCGTGGATGTAGGCACATTGCCGAACCACGTAAATTTCTGTGTGTTATTTTCTCCTGCTTTCTTAATTATTTGATTCCTTAATATTCACCAAAATTGCTGCATGATCACAACACCATGTAATTCGATACCACATCGTTATGTCTCATTTACCGAGATTCATAATTTAACAAAATTTGGGCAGAGTCTCATTTGTACGAGGAACTCTACCCAAAACGCAACCTGTACAATATTGACCATACCGGGTCTATCCATCCATTCACAATTGTATAGTATCGAATACTACCATAATCATCATCATTACGTGCATTCATTCATAAAAGAATAAATGTATCGAAAGAGTCCTTTATACATGTCTTTTAAATATAAACAAGTTTTTGTTACAAAAATTATACAAGGCCAAAAGTAATTATAAACAAGGGACTACTATGTCAAAATAAGAGCCACAGACCGGCTCTGTCGTCAAAACGGGCCCATGGCCTCGCCATCAGTGGACGTTTGTGCAATACCCAAAAAATGTTCCCATAAAGGGTGAGCCAACGCTCAATAGAGTAACTCCTATAGAGAATACCTCTCAACCTAAATACATATGAAATGTCACATACAACAATCATTTCATGCAATCATTCAAATATATCTATTATGAGCAAATGTCATAAATTATGTCATGCCATGAGATGAGACTCACGAACACAATACTAACACCGAGCCCCATCTTGAGTTCTTACAACACGTGCAATGTCATACGTATGTATCCGAGCATTCCAAGCCCCGTCATAAGTGTTATGTATACTCAATGACTAATTAATTTATTTTCTTGTGTCTTTGTGGGGAGATGATTTATGGAATTACACCAATGGGACACCAATCATCAACGGATTCTCAAGACATCCCATTTGCGACTCCGTTTTGGCCTTTACACTTTTCTGGAATTTCACCGCCTGAAAGTGTATAAACCAAGTAAGCGGGTCTTACACCCGAGGGAGAATTTAGCCCTTCTTGCTATCCTCGACACGTTTATCCATTTAATTTTTCGTGTGACTCAGCCGGACCTTGGTGCGACTTTTTCGAGCCCATAATCAACAACCTATGTGGTGATTGATTTCATCCCATGCACACATTCCCACTCATGTCAATGCCCATGAATGTAATGTAACTCATGCATAATGACATTTCAATGTGCAATTGCCTTTAGTACAATTTACAATGTCCATTACATAAAAAATACAATATAATGACATTTTCAACATGACAACATGTTTATCAATTCTATAATCATACGCACAAGTCCACCACAATAATTATATGCTAAATAATCATTTAACATATATATTATTCCATAATCACATAACAAGCTAATAATTTCATTAAACTTGATATGTCATTTAAAACATAAAATAATGATAATGTACAATTAACATGTTTTAAACCACTAACATTAACTTACACCAAGTTAATCATAATAGAATTTTTTCTAATTACAAAGTTAATTATAAATCATATATTTGACCCACTAGTTACACTAGTCAAAACCTAACATGTGATATACACCCATTTCATATGCCATATTTTAGGTTGAAAGTAAATCTAAATAGGAAAAACCCTACCTCTCGTAGCATGAGCCCACGTACTGGAATTTCGAGTAAGCCCAATTTAACTTCCCAAAATTTAGGCCTAGATTATCGTCTTTGATATTCTTTCGGAGAAAAATATGATATTTGATGTGGTTGTGTAGCTCTCGCTGAGTAGAGCAACTTTAATTCTTAGCCCAAAACGATTAAACGGTTCAATCTTCGTAGATTTGAAGAAGAAGAAATGGAGAAAATAAAGAAAAAAAAACTCATTTGTCTCTCTCACTCACTCGGCAGCCGGCTGGAGGAAGAAAAAGTGGAAGACTAAAGTCTTCCACACTTATATATATATATATATATAGTTAGAAATTTACATTTTTGACCCTTATATTTATAATTAATTATTATTTTACCCCTTTAATTAAGATTTTTAATAATAATAATAATAATTTTTTTTCTCGGGTTTTACATTCTCTCCCCCTTAAGGGAATTTTGTCTCCGAAATTATACCCACATGTACATAAAACGACATGCATATGTAAAAAGTCATTAAATACTCTATGAATATAAGAGATGTACCTCCATCCTCGAACATAAACGGATAGGTAGCTCGGATAGTGTCCTCACGCTTCCATGTCGCCTCCTCCACCCCACGGTACTGCCACAGCACCTTTACCAACCTCACAGTCTTGCCATGCAAAACCTGCTCTCAACTGTCTATGATACGCACTGGTCCCTCTTCGAAGGTCTCATCCGCATCAACCACTAGCTCACCCCAATCCACCACGTGTGTAGGATTTGGAGTGTACTTTCTGAGCATAGACACATGGAACACCGCGTGAGCACTAGATAGATTTGGCGGTAATGCCAACCAATAGGCAACTGTACCAACCCTCTCAAGTACCTTGAAGGGCCCAATATACCTTTGCGACAACTTTTCTCACTTTTTGAACCTGACTACTCCCCTCTTAGGTATCACCTTCAAGAAGACATGATCTCCGACCTCGAACTCCAAAGATCGTCGTCGTCTATCGGCATAGTTCTTCTGTCGGCTCTGAGCCGTTAGAAGACGTTTTTGTATCAAGTCCACCTTCTCTGAAGTGTCTCTAATCAAATTCGGACCCATTGAGGGTCTCTCTCCAACCTCTGTCCAACAAATCGGAGAACGACACAACCTCCCATAAAGTGCTTCATAGGGCGTCATCTGTATACTCGTCTGATAACTGTTGTTGTAAGCGAACTCTACTAATGGTAAGTGCTCATCCTAGTCACCCTTGAGATCAAGGATGCATGCCCGCAAACATATCTTCTAAAGTCTGGATGGTCCTCTCTGATTGACCGTCCGTCTGGAAATGAAAAGCGGTACTCATCATCAACTGTGTCCCCATGGCCCGCTGAAAACTCTCACAAAAATGAGCGGTGAATCTAGGGTCCCGATCCGATTCTATAGCTACGGGCACCCCATGTAATCGGACTATCTCCCGTATATACAGTCTACAGAAATTTTCTACTGTGAAGGTCATTCATACTGTCAAAAAGTGTGCCGACTTTGTAAACTGGTCCACTATCACTCACACCGCATCATGCCCCCACAATATCCGTGGCAAGTGGGTCACAAAATTCATCGTGACGTGCTCCCACTTTTACTCAGCGACCTCTAAAAGTTGGAGTAACCTTGCTGGTCTCTGGTGTTCAGCCTTGACTTGTTGACATGTGAGACATCGAATAACAAAATCTCCAACGTGCTTCTTCATACCACTCCAATAGTACTGGTGGCGAAA